TCTCTTTAACATTATAAATTAATAATTCTTTAAAAATACAAATATATCTAAGATAATTTGGGGAAATATGATTATATTGTTTTATGTTTTTTCTTAAAATTTAAATTTAGTTGAAGATCATATCTAACTTTTCTTATTGTATCCAAAAGTTTCAATGTTATCTTTTTAACTGCACCATAAAATTGTGATGAGTTCTAATTGCGATAAGTGTTTCTTTTCGCGTAACTGACTCCAAAGGTATTTTATCATCTTCAACTTTATCATCATTATTTTTTTTTCAATGGTATCCACAATTTCTTCTAAAGCCTTGCACGTATGAATATGTATCATTTTTACCTATCCAACAAGTTATTAACATGGTAACTGAGATTATTAATCATGACCTCAAGTTCATGAATGAAGTTTTCACAAGTGGATTCATTCAAATTCTATGAGATCTCATCTTTGAATGAACTTTGTAGTGTTGAAACACTCTTTAAATTAATATATATTAATTTATTAATTAAATAATACATTTACAAAATAATACTATTTTATGATCTCATCTATATTAATTTAGTAAGATTTTACTGTATATGACACATTTTTTTAAAAATTAATCTCAAAAGAAATGACAGTTTTCTATAGTCAGTATTCTCTCCATTCTAAAAATAATAATAACATAGTCTGACTTGAGATAAAATTTATAAAAAATAAAGAAGATTTTTTCTTGTGGTCCTAAATAAGAAAAAAATCAAATGTACTAAAAAAAAATTAATTAATTTTATATATATATATATATATATATATATATATATATATATATATATATATATATATATATATAAATATAAAAAAATCAAAGCATAGAGCCGTCCCTAGCATAGAGCGGTCCTTGCCTATGACATTTGCAACGCAAAATGAAAGTTATTTCATGAAATTAATCGTAGCAAACCAAAGCTATATAGGTAAAAAGAATAAATTGATGTGAATTGAGGTAAAAACTACTATATATATATATTTTTTATTTTATTTTTAAGCTTAGCCGGCCACACCAACGGCAAGCTTTGGGTATTTGCTTTTGACGAGAATCTAATGTGGATTTCATCAATTGTTGTCTCTTTGAAAATTGCATCGCAACAAACAAGAAATAATAATGGTGGAACATATGCAGACTGCACTTCAATTTCTACTCCCTCCATTTCTATTAATAAGTCATTATTTTAGATTTTAAGCTTCTTAAAAATTTATGTGAGTTTACCATTATATTCTTATTTAGTGTTTTCTTGAATTCAATTTTTTAATAAATAAATATAAATTAATTTATTTTGATTAATTATATTGAAAATGAATTAATCATTTAGTTTTTCTATGTTGATCAAATTCATATTTTCAAGAGTAAAATAAGAAGAATTATGTTATTTATATTCGTTTTGTGAAATGACAAGTATTAAGAATCATCTATTATTAGTAAAAACAACATATAAATAGGAACGAAAAATTATTTTTACTTGTTCATTCTATTAAAAAATAATTATTCAATAATATTTGTCCAATTTAGAAAATAAAAAATAAGGTAACTTTTTATTGGTGAGGAGGGTTATAAGGAAATAGAAAAAAAAGTAGGTGGGGGTTGATAAGTTTTGATTTTAGTCTTTTTCTTTTCTTTTTAATTTATGATTATAACATTTTAATACGTGATAAAGTAGTAGTACTACATTTAGATACTAATTTAGGAAGGATTTTAAATATTCTCTCTTCTCAGAAAAAGAAGAAGAAGAAGAAGATACCAACAAGAATTAGTAGAGTGTTGTTTACCTGAAATTTAGTACTTATATTAGTATTCGATTATTTCATATTCGTATTTCGTAGATATCATTAGAAGGAAAGCGCTCTCTGCTAAAAAAAAATCTAGTCACATCCTTTGATAATATTGGAGTAGTTATATGTGATGCATGAGATTTAAGGAGTAGGTACCATCTTAAAATACCTAATATAGAGAAAAGAAAAAAAAAAGTAGGAACTAGGAATTGATGTTTCTTCTAATATAAATAATAATAAAGGTCAAACAAACTGGTGCATATTCACAATTTTTTATGAGTGTATTGGACATATTTTTGGAAAAGCAAATTAAAGTGAAAATAATTATTTGTTCATCTCTCATAGTTACAACTTCTTAAAAGTATTAACAAAATAGCATATGGTCTTAGAAACGGAGCTAAGTGGGAGTTTGTGGACTCGGACGAATCTAATATTTTTTTAGTTGACTCGGACGAACCTAATATCCCTTCATAAGTTAATACACACATACATACATACACACACACATATCAACAAAAGTTTCTATTTTTTTAATTAAAAAAGCATGTTTTGTAATATTTTCATCTTCTATCCTAAGCATGCTTTGCAATATCTTTCTCTTCTATCCTAAAGTTTAAAACTTTCAAACTTCTAATCCTGACTCCGCCTATGTATGGTCCTCGTTAAGTTTTATGATTCTCTACAAATAATTGCAGAAGCTCAATAATATATTTTTAAATAAATTATTTTTAAAATGAAGATAATATGTACATTTTTTTCATTTTCTTCCCAGAATAAATGTTATTGAATATGTCTTTCGATAATTCTAGTAAAATGAAATATTTATTTCCTAGTAATCTCGTATGAAAAATTGTTATAAAATTTATGCTTAATACTAGTAAACTTCTTAAACCTATCAAGATATTTTATTTAAAAACTCGAATTAAGACTGGTTTCAATTGATCACGTGTCTAATAAAAATATACGTAAAAAAATTCTATAATTCAAATAAAAAGTGTCTAATTAAAACATTCTATTAGGTGTTTAAATATATGATTGAATGATGACTTAGTTTAAATATTTAAATAATATATACTAACAAATTTTAAAAGACCAATTGTATGTTAAATCTAAAAGTTAATAAGTTATGTATGGGATTTTGAAGAGTCCGGAGCAGAAAGAGTCATTTCTTTCTTCAAAATGCATAAAGGGTCACTGGTTTTTTTAAAATATCAAAACGTATAAATCACTAATGAGGTCAGTGTTAAAGAGAGTTGCAGAATCCCAAACTTTCATCTTTACTAGTTTTCTCTTGCTTGTAAGTGTTTTTTTCCCTTCATCTTTGATTGTTTGTATTCTAATTTGATGAACTCAAATTGGGATTTGAACCCTTTCTTTAAGGCGGTCTACAACACTCTCTAGGGATGCAATCATTTCCCGGATCTTGCTTGAACGTGGGATGCTAAGTGAAACTCGCTGCATGTTATTTAGAAAAAAATTTTGATTGAATTGTTGCCCCAGCAGCAAGGAAATCAAATATATTTTTTTAATGAAATCGCTGCAAATTTTAAGAAAACAAGTTTCTTTTACATGACATTAACGGGGTTTAATTTGAGGAAGGATATCGCTGCCCCACGAGCGATTTGTCCGTTTTGGTATTTTGAATTCGGTAGAGAAGAGAAAAAAGATTGCAACAATCTGAGAAAAAAAGAAGAACCCAAAAAAAATATTGCCTTAATCCTATTTGAATTTTGTATCTATGTACTGAACTATTTTTAATTTCCCTCCCCATTTAATTCTCCTCTAAATATACATAATAGAGAAAAAGATGAGAAAGTAGGAATTATGCTTCTTCAAATAATGAAGGCCAAACAAAATGGTGCATGTAATTTGATATACTTTTTTTAATAAAATTTTTATCTCATATTCAATAACTATTTTGAAGCCCAATTAACTAAACCTCACTTCAATTTGTTTCTTGTTAGGTAGTGACTAGTGATAGGATGAATGAAATATTTTTACTTTTAATTAGTGAAGAAGATATGTATTCATTTCTAAGGGCATCTTCAATTCCACACTCTATTTTACTCTCCAAATATAGAGTTTTCTATTTTTTCAGACAATCAACTCCAACCTAATTTTCTATTTTACTCTCTAAAAAAAAAATCTTCTTCTCTCTCCTCAATATAATATTATTATTTCTAATTCTATTTCATTTGCTTATTTCATAATATAAATCTGTTCTTTCTTTTTTCAAAATAATCACCCTATATAATTTTCATGTAATATAAAATTATTATTTTTAAAAATTCTTTATTTAATATAAAATTATATTTTATTGTAAATTTTAAAGAACAACTACGAAAAATTGAAAAAAGAAATCAATAAGCACAACCACAATCACAAACACAACAATTCTCTAGATCATACACTATCTTTTTTTGGAATATTGTTAAATCTGAAAACGACCTACCGGATTACTAAATTATTGTTGTGATTTTAAAAATTATTATGTTATGTATTGTATTGTTATCTTGTATTTAAATTATTATGTCATGTATTGTATTTTTAAATTAAAATTTTCATTTTATCATTTAATTTTTGTGCATTCTTCATAGTTGATATCAAATTATCTCTTAAAGTGACGAAAATTGAAAAAAATATATTAAAAATATTATTTATTCGGGATGAAAGTAGTATATATTAAATAATATATTTTTAAAAAATATTGTATTATATTTAAAAAGAATTACACATATTAAAAATTTAATCTTAGCCTTGTATGAAAAACAATATGTTAGGTACAAATAATAGAAATAATATTAAAATAATAAAAAAGTGAATTAGAGAGGTGAATAGTAGTTCTCCAAATTTAGAGAACTACTATTCACCTCTCTATAAATAGAGAATAGAGAGCTTTTTAGAGAGTGATTGGTGACTCAATTCTCTATTTTACTCTCCAAATATAGAGAATGGAGAGTAAAATAGAGTGGGGTTGGAGATGGTCAATATTGTCATTATATAATCCAAGTGTTGTTTCAAGTATAAAACAGAATATAAAAAGTTAGTAAAAATATGTAGTTTAAAATGTATAGCTTATTATAAAAATGTATCAGAGGATGACTAAAATGAGGAAATAGAGATTAATTTTGCATAATCTTGTTGGTAAATTAAAGATATCACTCCCTCTAAATAGAGATTAATTTCGCAAAACAGAAAAGAAACACATTCAAAAATCAGCAATATGATGCTGGAGTGTGTAAGAGAAACAAAGTTGAAATAAGAAAATCCAACAAGAAACTATAATGGTAAAAGTAGGTTGGGAAATACTTCTAATAGAAACTCTATGAATGTGTATTCAAACATCTGCACTTCCTCAAACCTTGTAGCCTCTGCTATTTCTCTTTCCTCTTGCTCGCTCAAACTTCCTTCCCTTGGCACGAACATAAGGCTTCGTGTGGCTGTGCGGGACACCAGGTGCTTTACCAAAGTGCTTAACAGCCTCCCTCGAGTTCTTTGGACCCCTAAGTAAAACCTGAGAGAACGCAGGAAAAAATATCAAGAAAGCATTGCAGAACGAAGGACTAGCAGTACATTTCTATTCAGACCAGTTAACTAGCCAACGTTGCTCTACCATGAATGAATAATCATTTCATATGCAGGTCGAGGGAACAGTGATTCGAACCACAATTCTAAAAACACCTCAATTTATTATACTAGTGAAGACCACTACAGCATGTTCGCTAACTATTGACTGTATTGATGAAAGAAAAGGCGTAAAATTACAAACTGATGAGGGGACAGAGTTCCATACCGTGTTCTGCCCAAGAGGGGCTCTGAGAGCGAGCTGATCAAAGGTCAAACATTCTCCTCCAGCCTTCTCAATCCTAGCTCTAGCTGTTTCAGTGAATCTCAATGCAGTAACCTTGATTTTAGGGACTTCATAAGCTCGAACATCATCGGTAACAGTCCCGACAATAACAGCAATATTGTCCTCCTATCATAATACACAAGTCAATTCAGATAAACCAAGGGCCATTTGCTTTGCTGTACAAGAAGAAATAATCCTTGAACATAACTCTGATTACTAATCTAACATTTGAATTCTAATATAAAACTCTGCATGGTTGAGTCAGAGATTATGCATTGCATAAATAGTCATGAGACATAACTTTGCAGTATATGGAAAATTATGCATCACTTTATACAATGTAGAATAAGAAATAAAAAAAAAAGGTCATTCAGAAAAGTTGTATACAAAGATAACCCTCCACCTCCATCCACCTTATTCAGCAGAAAAAGAGTTTTGAGCGACCTCAAGAGTATTTTTGTCATTTTCATAGTAATCCTGAAACTTCTATTATTCCACCCACTAGAATGGATAACTTATCCAGGTGAGTATAAGTCATCCTACGATAAGTAACCAAAAATGGAATAAGGCAGTCGTAAATTTCTATCACAAGACTATCTATGCTTGTCCGGCATACAAATGACCCCCAAAGTGCATTAATAATATAAGGATTAAGTTATATTCTTCACTCTGATATGTCAATTCCTTACACCTTTAGTCCTAATCACTGCATATTATTTCTTTTTAGCGATTTCATTAACATAAATGCTACAGAAGCCGTCTTCAATACCATCCATGCCCAGCAAGTATACAAGACAGAGAACAATTTAACTATACAAGAATAAAGCAAGAACATTTTAATAACTGCTCACTGTAAATGTGTTTAATCCCAGATCACTAGCAGCTTGTTTGGACGGTTGTTATCTTGTATTGTACACTAAATAAAGGCACAGTTGGTAGCTCTAGCTCTACCATGTATCCTATTTACTTGTAAGTTTATAATTCAAATTATTGATAGATAACAGTATATAAGAACATAAAATGATACAATCAATACAATATAACACAAGAATTCACAATTATGAAACTATCCAAACAGTGTAAGGTGAAACAAAGCTAAAATGGATGAATAGCAATACCTTTCCGGTCATGTAAGTAACCAAACGTGATAGAGACAATGGAGCTTTATTGATCTTGCTCATGAAGAGTCTCTTCAGTATCACAGCATTGAACTTACTACCAGTCCTCCGTGCAAGAAATCGGTACAACTGTTATTCCCACAATTCAACATACAATTCTCAGTATACTAACCAAAAATGCACTAAATCTATAAAGACAAAGTAAAATAAAATACCTTGACGAGAAGCTTGAGATAAACATCGTCGGATTTTGGTGCAATGCGCTTAGTCTTTTTGGACTTACCTCCGGCCACTAGATCGATACCCTAAATAGAAAATCAAAATAACAAAATCAAACAATGGCGTCAGTGAAAACAAATAGCGTAAAAGCTATAGGAAGATTCAAGAAAAAAGAGTTTTCACCATGATGATGCTCCGCCTGCTGCTTCTACTCTCCGCCGCCGCCTGCTGCTGATAGATTTTTCTGTTCAAAGAATGGAAAAATATGAAGAAGAAGCTTTTTAATCCCTTTTGAATAAAACCCTAATACGCAGAACTTTAATGGGCTTGGTTGGTGTGACAGCCCAATAGGCCCAAGATATTATATGTGAAGTAAATTTACACAAATAGGAACTTTTTTAATGTGATTATTTAAATTTTGTTCCGTTTTAAAAAAATAGTTTAAATTTAATCATAAACTCTATTAATTAAAAATTAATGAGCAAAACTTGTCTTGTTATGAATTTTGATAAATCACTAGAACTTGTGGCTTGACAAATCGTTAGCATTTTGGATCACAAGTCCTTCCAAGTTGTTTGAATTGGCCATAAAATTTTGATGGGTCACCACAACTTGTTTAGAAAATTTACCAATAAGAATTCACTTAAATATTGGTCAAATTTTCACTTTAAATTTGATATAGGATTTTCTAAATCAATCAAGGAGGCTGAATAATAAGGAAAAGATGAACTATTATAAGGAAAAGATGAACAAATAGTTTTCTAGAAAGTCTATATAATTGCTAAAATTATATATTAATGTACAAGTGTTACTATTACCCCTTTTTGTTATATATATATATGTATATATATTATATTATTTTTTTAATTTTTTTTTGTTGACAATGAATATATGGTGGTTTATTCTTCGAGCACGTATAAGATAAGTTATGTATTAGTGTATTAGTCTGCAAATTTTACATTAGGCAAGTTTCATGAAAACATCAAGGAATTTCACCCCTCGGTTGGGAATAACCTAGTCAAACAATTTATGAGCTGAGGTTTTAACTCGTTTTGTCCCATATATTTTAGTTCAAGTAATTAGTGGAATTGTTGATCAATCAATTTGATCCGTTTATTTGTTAATTTTAATTTATTTTACCCTAAGGATGGACGTTCAAAACTTAAAAAAAAAATCATATTCAAGCTAAAAAATCAAAACCATAAAATCAAATAAATCAATCCGCTTAACTTCACTCTGATTTTTCGATATTTATATTCAACCTTATGTTACCCTATCCAAATTTAGTCCTTCATTTGTTTTATTTTTCAATGACACTTGGTTAGGGGTGGCAATTGGGCGGGTTGGGTTAAATTTGGGCAATTTAAAATGGATCAAGACAATAAACGGGTCAAGATCCAACCCAATCCAAATTTGTTTGGGCCAAAATAGGTTGTGTCAAAACAAGTTAGGTAACGGGTTAGTAGCGGATCAGATCCCAATCCGTCCAATTTTTACTAAGTTTTAATAGTTTTATTTGTTATATTATAAGCTCTTAGTACCTAATAAAACTATCTTTTCATTTATTATAACTATAAATAACATATAAATAAATAAAAAGTTTTTTAATAGTAATATTTTTTACAAGATTTCTCAAAAATCAATTTGGGCTACATATCAACCCATTAAAAAATGGGTTGAAATGAGTTGGGCTAAGCTAACAAATAGACAGGTTAATAACCACTTCAAACTTAAATAGGTTAGGTCGGATTGAATGAATTGTGCTTGATTTTGTCACCCTTACACTTGGTCAATAGACCTAACCATATAAGATATGTTAAAAATTGTTACGCGTTTTGTGTCTGCATTAAAATATCAATTAAATTTGAATTGCATGTTGCAGGATCTTTTAGATAGTGACACTTTCAATAAGATTTTCTTCATATTCAAAACTCGACTTCAACACCTCTAGCGTTTCACTGCTCCACAACTTACATTGTTGGTTCCTCTCAAAGTTGCTCTTCAAAAAACGTTGTTTATTGGACGAATCAGATGAATAATTATGCTTAAGAGTTTGGCTTATCAGATTCTGAATTTAAGTATACTAATTTGCTAGTCAACTAATAAGTTATCAATTGGTTCGGTATCTGGTTATGAATTAACGGATAGTTATAGGCAGCGTATTAGCTCCACCCAGTGTTTTCAAAACGTTTTTGGGGTGAGTCTCAGGGCGAGTCTCAGGGCGAGTCTCGGGGCGGGGCGTACCAAAAACGCTTCGGCGCGTAAATTAAAGGTGTAGATCCATAAGGCGTAAGTTCTAAAATTTGAGGCGTAAGCCTCGAGCATAAAAACGTAAGTCCTAGGTGTAAAAACGTAGTCCCGAGAGTTTTTAATTTATTTTTTTGAATTTTTTTTAACTTTAAATCATATTTTTTATTATTGTTGTAATGCCATTTCTCAAATAGTAATTATAATACATTTTTCTTCATTATTGATTATTAATACTTATCTCAAATAAAAATTATAATATAATTTCTATATATTACAGGTTAATAATAAATATTTATTTGTAAAATCATTGAAAGGTTTACTTTTGCTTATTTTATTAGTAATAAAACTATAAAATTAAATATAATGAGACTACGCCTCGTAGATCCATGAGACTTATGCCCCGTGTCTCAGGGCTTACGCCTTGCCCTATACTGTATAAAATGCCTCGCCTCACGCCCCCGCCTTTTAAAACACTGGCTCCACCATTTCCTCTTCCCTTCTTTCAATTTCAATTACCAATATATTCATCTCGCATCAAGCAAAATAATTTTTCCGATTAAACAATCTAATTTTTCTAGCCCTACATATGCTAGTAATTTAGTAATTGTAAATCATTTTAAGACACGTATGAAAGTCTAAAATTTGAGGGTGCATGCATATAAGTATTTACTTAGCAAATATGCTTACGATAAAAATGTAACTACAATAATTTTTAACGAATTAACGATTTACTGGAAACTGAGTAATTCGCACCGATAAATCGTTAACTATAAAATTTTAATATGCTCACCAACCGTTAATTCGATAATCCAATACTAATAAGCCAATAAATCAATTTTGTGATTGACTTATCAATTACGATTTAATTTTGAACGATCCTACTTTAAAAAAACTCCCAACTAATGGTATCTATTTTATAGAAGCTAAAATTAGAATGTAAAAATTTATGTTATTTGCACTAGTAATTACTCCATAAATCACCAAATACTTGCCTTTAATTATTACAAAAAGATTGGTCCTACTTACTATTATACCCCTGTCTCAGCCAGATATTTTGGAATTCACGAAGGGTAAAATAGTCAAACACAGGCCATTTATCATTACTTTTTCATTTCAATGTCTCCCAGCTATATCTTCCTGTCAATAATTTTCTCCGTCTTCATTTCCTCTTCCCTACATTCCCTCCGTGTGTAACGGCCCCGTCAGTCTAAGCAGTTACTCTTTTTAACGGTGACCGGAGATACACTGCTGGCGATGAACACGTCGAAGATGCGCCGGAAAGTTGTTCCGGCGGTAGAAAACGGAGACTCCGCCGACAAATTTGACCAGGTCCTCTTATCCGCCGCCATCTGCAACGGTGAAGATGTTGGGCCTTTTGTGCGCAAGGGTTTTGCTTCCGGTAAGCCGGAGACAGTACTTCTTCATCTCCGTTACTTTGCCCGATCCAAGGAATCTGAAATTGAGGATGTATGTAGAGCACACTACGAGGACTTTATCACCGCCGTTGACGATCTCCGATCTCTGCTCTCCGATGTTGATTCTCTTAAATCGTCTCTCTCAAACTCGAACAGTCAACTTCAGTCCGTCGCTGTGCCTTTGCTTACCACTCTTGACTCATTCGTTGAAGCTCGAAACAAATGCAAAAACATAACTCTTGCTATCCAATCGCTTCGGACTTGCGTTCAGCTAGTCGAGCTTTGCTCCCGAGCCAATCGTCATCTTTCAGAGAACAATTTTTACATGGCGTTGAAGTGTGTGGACTCGATTGAGAGAGAGTTCATGAACAAAACACCGTCTACTACTCTCCGGCGAATGCTTGAAAAGCAGATCCCTGCGATTCGTTCACATATTGAACGGAGAATCACCAAAGAGTTTGGTGATTGGCTTGTCGAGATCCGTGTAGTTAGCCGAAATTTGGGGCAACTAGCTATCGGACAAGCATCAGCATCGAGACAGAGAGAAGAAGAGCTCAGAATCAAGCAACGACAAGCTGAGGAGCAGAGTAGACTCAGTCTTCGGGATTGTGTTTATGCTCTTGAAGAAGAAGACGATGACGGATTCAATGGGATCAGTGATGACGGAAAGGATGGTTACAGCAATGGAATGTTAGGGTTTGATTTGACGCCGTTGTATAGGGCTTATCACATAAACCAAACTCTAGGACTTGAAGATCGATTCAAAAAGTACTATTTTGAGAATCGCAAGCTTCAATTGACTTCAGATTTTCAGGTATCTTCAATGACGCCCTTCCTTGAATCTCATCAGACATTTTTTGCCCAAATTGCTGGTTTTTTCATCGTGGAAGATCGAGTCTTGAGAACTGGTGGTAAGTTGGTTTCCAAAATGGAGGTGGAGAATTTATGGGACACTGCTATGAGTAAAATGTGTTCTGTTTTGGAAGATCAGTTTTCTAGAATGCAAACTGCGAATCATTTGTTATTAATCAAGGACTATGTGAGTTTGCTTAGTGTGACGTTGCGTAGATATGGATACCCTGTTGAGGCTTTGCTAGACGTCTTGAGCAAGCACAGGGATAAGTATCATGAGCTCCTGTTGTCTGATTGTCGAAAGCAGATAACTGAGGCTCTTGCTGCAGATAAATTTGAGCAGATGTATATGAAAAAGGAATATGAGTATTCCATGAATGTGTTGTCATTCCAGTTACAGACGTCAAATATTATGCCTGCATTTCCTTATGTTGCACCGTTTTCGTGTACAGTTCCTGATTGCTGTAGAATTGTGCGGTCCTTTATCGAGGATTCAGTTAGTTTTATGTCACATGGTGGTCAGCTTGATTTCTATGATGTGGTGAAGAAGTACTTGGATCGGCTTTTAACTGAAGTCCTGGATGGAGCCCTGTTGAAGTTCATTAATACGTCTATCGGTGGTGTTACCCAAGCAATGCAGATGGCGGCTAATATGGCTGTGTTTGAACGTGCTTGCGACTTTTTCTTTCGTCATGCTGCACAGCTTTCAGGGATTCCATTGAGAATGGCAGAGAGGGGGAGGAGACTGTTCCCTTTGACTAAAGCCCGTGATGCTGCTGAAGAGATGCTTTCGGGTCTGCTTAAGCAAAAGGTTGATGGTTTCCTTTTGTTGATTGAGAATGTGAATTGGATGGCCGATGAGCCTCTGCAGAGTGGAAATGAATATGTGCATGAGGTGATTATTTTTCTTGAAACACTAACTTCTACTGCCCAGCAGATACTGCCTGTTCAAGTTCTCAAGAGAGTTTTGCAAGATGTTCTGTGTCATATATCAGAGATGATTGTTGGGGCTTTACTAGGGGAATCAGTTAAAAGGTTCAACGTGAATGCTGTTATGGCTCTTAATGTCGATATCCAGATGTTGGAATCATTTGCTGAAAACCAAGCTCCTCTCTTATCTGAAGCAGATGCTGGTCAGTTGAAAGCAGCATTGGCCGAGTCCAGGCAGTTGGTTAATCTACTCTTGAGCAATCATCCAGAAAATTTCCTGAATCCAGTTATTAGAGAGAGAAGTTATAATGCTTTGGACTACCGTAAAGTTGTTACTATCTCGGAAAAGATGAAGGATCAAACAGACAGGCTTTTTGGGTCCTTTGGCACAAGGGGAGCTAAGCAGAACACGAAAAAGAAATCTCTTGATGCATTAATTAAAAGATTGAAGGATGTCAACTGAGTCTGCAAATCTCTGTATGTTATGTTCCTAGGGAGATCTCCATATTGTAGTTGTGTTGATTACTTGCTGATTTCATATCTAGCTTCCTTTTCTGCAAATTGCCTACCATTTACGTAATTTTTTCCTCCCGTAGTTCCACATTGATTGCTGTATTATTCTTCAGAGCATATTCTTTTCTATTTTGTGGTCATATTCTTTTGCAACTCAGATATAGTCTTTTTATCTCATGAACTAGTAATTTCTTGCATTGATTAATGATTAGTCTCTTCTCCAGTGGCTTTTTTTGGTAGAATAATTACATATTTGCTGCTGTGTCTCATGAGTTTACAGAACACTTTCTGCTTAACTTAGCAAGACTTCAGCTTGCATATGAGAAATGGCTTTTGCAGATCAATGAGAAGCTGCTGCTGCTTCGTTATTCATAACAATTTTAGTGAATTTCTACACATAAATCTATACTCTATGCTTCAAAATACCAGGTGAACCTGGTATCAACAGGATGATATTGGATTACTTCTACAGTAATTCTAATAGATTCCACTTTTCTCGTTAGCCTGGAGCATTATTACTAGTTTGATTGTGATCGATTGAGAACATAATATTTATTGTGATCCAATTGGAATAATTTCATTAAGAGACTTGTAATTTCTTGTTACTGAACTAGAATAAGACATGGTAGCTAGTCCAGCTCAAATCGTAAAAAAGTTGAGGGACTTGTATTTTGAATCGCTCCCGAAAAGGAATCTTTTGGTATGTGCGTTGATTTATTTCATGGATAAGGGCTTTGGTTCAAGTCTAAGATGGCCCAGCCGTGACAGGAAAGATAATAGAAGAAACATCTGACTACTTCATATGCCATGTGAATTAAGTTCAATGTTTGAATGGAGAATACGGAAGCTAGTCCATCATCTCCGAGTTTTGGATGTTGCGGTTGGGTCAAAGAGTTCTCTAGATGGATTTATCGTATTTTTTTTTTGTAATTATAGTGTTCGATTCAGTTTACGTGTATTGAATCAACTACCAATCCATGGACTATTTTGCTGTACAAATTATTGTAAGGACACGTGGACAACTAAACAGAGCAACAAACACGTTTGTCATCATACCTATAAAACAAACATCTGTCAACCTCATATCTTACCATATTATGTATTCACCCTTATAAAACGGTGAACTTTGGAACAACCAAAAAAATCAATGTTCGCAGAAATGTCAATATCTTTAACAAGAAGTATTTTTTACCTCTTTCTCTTCTTTTTTGCCACTGCAGCTTCAAGAAATGAGAAGCTATCAGCTTATGAAGAGCTACAGCGTTATGATTTCCCAATGGGGATTCTTCCAAAAGGTGTAAAAGACTACAAATTAAACACAAAAACAGGTGAATTCTCAGCTTATCTTAATTCTACCTGCAGCTTCAAATTGGAGAACTCATATCAACTGAATTACAAGCCTGTTATAAAAGGGGTTATATCTAAAGGCAGGCTTAAGAAATTGAGTGGTGTTAGTGTTAAGGTGGTGTTGCTATGGCTTAACATTGTCGAAGTTGAGAGAAAAGGTAAGAATCTTGAGTTCTCAGTTGGACTCGCTTCGGCGAATTTTCCGGTTGAGAACTTTGAGGAATGTCCACAGTGTGGGCATGGATGGAATTGTGTTGATGGAGGTAACAATCTTGTGTCTTCTTTCTAGACTAGATTAGGTACTTCCATTGAAAATCTAGTTATGTTTTTTGTTTTCTGGTAGTGGAAATGATCTGTTTTTTGAATAGCTATGGTATTTGGGGCCATTTGGTCACGAAATAAACTGATTTTTTTTCATTTTTTATTAAAAGGTATTAAAGTTAAAAAGATAAAATAACATAGTGTGGAATATGTTATTTTACCATTCTGACCAAATTTTTTGGCCAAAAAAGATTTTTCCTATATTAATATGGGTCACTTACTGCCCAATTCAGTGAGGATGGTTTTTCTGACCACTCTCCTATACAGGAAGAGTGATTTTAAATAACATTGCCCTTGGTCATAAATAAAATTGGTTAAAAGGGTACACAAGGAAACAAATTTCATCTAGATAGATCATAATGTGGATATTTAGAAAGCTTATGATGCAACTATTGAGGGGCAAGTTCAATATGTTCTTGTTTCAAATTTGAAGGCTAATAGGAGTGGAGTCCGTATCGAAGCTCCCATCAAATTTGAATCGTGCACTATAGGGTCCATTCGGGATGGTGTTTTTAATAAGATTTTCTCCATATTTAGGTTTTTCGAACTTAAGACCTCTAAGGAGTTCCGACTAAATTTGGATTGCGCATTGCAGAGTCCATTCGATGGTGGTGCTTTTCGTAGGATTTTCTCTGTATTCACGACGTATTGGAGATCTTTAGTAAAAGAGTTTTGACTAAATTTGAATCCTGCACTGCAGGGCTCATACAGGTGGTGCTTTCGATAAGATTTTTTTTATATTAAAGGCTCAAACCTGACATCTCTAGTTAAGTTTGAAGAGACTCAAACTGTTGAAAGGGTCTTTTGTAAAGGTCCCTTGGCCCTTGGACAGGGAATTGTATGCCATAATGTAACTTGCCCCAAGTAATTATCATATCAGTTATTCGTTCACTAGTTTTTTTTTAAAATCAAATAATAAGAATTTCGACTAATATTTTATAGCGAATTTTTTCATCATATTAATATGCAAAAAAATTGCAATTTATAGTACTTTTTGTTTAGTTTTTGAATATCTAAATTTTTTGTTTAAAATATCAAATTAATATAAATTAATTTAATTTTAAAAATTAATCAAATTGATTTTTTTTGAAAAATCCAATATGACAATTAGAAGTGTACAAAAAGAGGTTTAAAAAAAATATATGGTAATGTTATTTCCTTGGGGAAAAATGGTGCAAGTATTAAATATAATAAAATAATGTCCCTAGAGATGCAAGCTTTGGGTCAAATTTTGTCTTGTAGCTTAAACAACAAGACAAAAATACATTAATGGCAACACTTCATTCTGTCCAACAGTTTTCATCACACTCCTTATTTCTCTCACCTACTTTCCGATAGAAGGTAAAAAAAGAAATAGCAGTTCATAGTGGTTAAGAATAATAATTTAAATAAAGTATTTATTTTTTTGGGGAGCAGATAGTTGTTGTGAAATAGCTCAAGGAGCGTTTTTGGCTTAATCCATTGGTGATTCCTTAAAGTTGGCACGATATGTTAGATATTTTAATTGGATGATGTTCATTTTAGACACCTTAGGTAGGATTTTATTGTGTCATTTTGGCACTTTTTTAATCTCAACAAAAACATATAAGGTGTGTGTATTATACTCGCGAATGATGTTTAAAGTGACGAATTCAACAACGACATTTGTTATTTATGTCAAAAGTAATTTTTAAATAATTAATGTTGAATAAAAATAAAATCTGACCAATAAATTAATGACATGTAATATTTTTTTATCTCTAAAAAAAAACCCCGGCGCAAAGAATTTAATGAATGGGTTTGTTCTTAATTTCTTTTTAAAAAATCCATCATTTTTATTGAAACCTTATTTACAATGGATGAGATTTAACTTGAGTAAAATGATGGCTGAAAATGGAGAAAAAAGAAGAAAAAAATAATTAAAAAGTAACTAAATAACCACTTTGCGCGCCTATGAATTAGCGTATCACACTTATTATGCCATGTAAGTAAAAAGTGTTAAAATGACACTGTGAGATTTTACCTGAAGTGTCTAAAATGAATATCGCTCAATTAAGATATTTAAATGAAATATTGTGCCAACTTTAGAAGGTCATCGATAAATCAGATCTTTTTCGCGAAACAAAAAGGTCAAAGAAGAGAACACGTCCTGACTGGTAGAGTTGCCACGTGCAGCATTTGAGTGTGTCTTTGTGGGTTTTCCATAAAGTAGGAAAAATAAATTTTATAAATTATTTTTCAATATTATGATCTCTTGTTCACGGTCTTTCATTGAATTGGGAGTCAAAAGAGATTTTTAGCTTTAGAAGCTAAAATTTAAAAAAGAAAAGAAAAGAAAAAACGACCGTAGAGAGTAACCAATAGTGATTGAATATCAAAAATTTAAAAATTATAATAATATATAATTAGTATAATGACAAACATCAATCATTTTAATCATGATAACAGTACACAATTTACTAATTTTGTTATAGTAATCTTTTATCTAAGGTCATATCTTTGATAATATAAAGTTAAATTATAATTGTCTTATTACCTCTTCACAAACTTTTTTGATCTACTTTGGTCTCACCTCTTTATTGATGCGTCAACGTATTTTTCTTTTCACATTCAAACTACCGTAATTTCGCTTTTTTTTCATCATAGAGGTCACTTTCACCTTATTCTGAGTGTCCTTTTTAATCTTATCACTCATGTCTCCTAATATATTCATATGTCCACCTCAATATTCTAATCTCCGTAGCATAAAAATGATGAAATAACTTATCGGGAATTAATTACTTTGAAATTATAATATTATTTTTATCTTATATTAAAAAGAAAAGAGAAAAGTATTAAAATAATCCTCAAACTTGACACTGATTATTGATTTTATTCCCAAATTATTGATAGTTCTAAAAGTACCCCTACACTTGACGAACTAAGCTTAAAAACACCATTTTCGTGCCACATGGCACAACAAGTGATTACACTTTCATTAAGCAGGTGAAAAGTTACAAAAACGCCACATCAAACTTTTTCTTATTTTTTTCCTTCAACTTTTAATTATCAACTGCTACAACACCTTACTTCTTCCTATTTAACTTCTCCTCCATTAAAACTGACCTCAAAATAAGATTAAAAAAATTTCAAATTGAAATTTAATCCTTATGAAAAACTCGAACAAAATAATAATAAAAAAGATCATTCCCAATACTTTAATCAACGTTTTCAAGCTTAAAACCCTTTGATTTAAGGATAAACTACCTTATTAGACATGCATCACTACTATATATACTAATATTATCTTTACTTTCAAACAATTACATATATTACCACTTTTAATATTTTATATCATTTATTAATATATTATTTGAAGATACAATTAGATACCCACATCCCTTAAAACTAGGATGGATTAATTATCTGCTTAATTAACTCTTTCACTCCAAATCAACCACTATCTCTTAATCCTCCCTCCCATATTTATCACTCAAATTTCACCATACAATTTCATTCCAACAATAGTTAATCTACTCTCTTCTTCTCAAGATATCATCACAATGACCAACAAATTCTTCTAAACCCAAATATTATTTTGTATTGTTCATTTATAATGAGATCAAATCAAAGTAACTGCTGCAGAGAAAACTTTCAATTCAAAGTGGGTCTTGATTGTTTGTCTTCGAAAGAAATGAATCTTAGTTTTGATTATGTTATGCCACAAAGCAAAAGGATCAAAGAGAGTATTGTAGAGAGTTTTTGTTTGTTCGTGTTCTTTAAGGCTTTCTTTGGTTATTGTGACATTGATGTGGTAGTACCAATATTACTTCAATATAGCCCTTGAAACATGTGTATCCAATAAGTAGTAATCTTAATTAAGATCTGAGTTTGTATTTTTAGTAATGGGATATCTGAACATGTATATATATCCACCATTTAATTTCGGATACATGATTTTTAACAACACCATGATATTAATGATACGACATACTCTACAGTCGTGATTTGCTCTTAAATTTATGTGTTTCAGCTACATTTCATAGTTAGATACACATAATTAAATGTATATGCTTATTATGTATTTGAGATACATGTTTTTGGATATAACGTATGAAATTCATATACACATAATTAGATGTATATGCTTCTTCTTTTTGTATATTTCATATTTAGATACACATAATTAGATGTATATGCTTACTATGTATTCGAGATACATGTTTTTGGATATAACATATGCAATTGATACTTGATACATCAAATTAATACTAGATACATATAAAAGATACATGAAATTAATATTAGATATATATATATATATATTAAAATTAATACTAGATACGTATAACAAATTAAATACATGAAATTAATGTTAGATACTTCTATGGTACATATGAATGTACTTGTATGACACTCATGCATCTCAGTGTTTAGTTTATTTGATGCATCATACATTGACAATAGATACATCACATTAATGAATTTATTATTTTAAGAGTAATAATTTGAAATTAATCAAATTTACATTACCAAGATATACATGTTTTTATCTTATATTAATAATATTAATGAATTCACTATTTCAAAGAATAATAAAATGAAATTAATTATCTATGTATTTTGAAAATCCTCAATTACTCCTCTAATTAAGGAAATCAGTTACAACCAATTAATTTAAATAAATAAATTTTGTATCTCAATTTTAAAATTCGACAGATACATGTATCTCATGAATTCAGACTTATGTATCCAAAGCATGAAATATGGTAGAGGAAGCAATATTTGAAACTATTGGGAATCTTAATAATTAAGAACTAAACTAGTGGGATTTATGTGGTTTGCCCTTGATTTAATTGTGAGATTGGAGAAAGCTTTTGATTGGAAGAGAGGCGAAACACGCTGGAAAATCGGAAAGAGATTGGAGACAAATAATAACTATTCTTTCTGCAATAGTTGTTCACTATTGACTTGACACACGAAATAATAAATAATAGAGGTAATATTACTTTTTTATCATTTGACTTTATTAAATTTAATACTTTGAGAAATATGTTAAATGATAAATAGGTATTTAATAAGTAACAATTGTAAAATCGACATAAAAGATAAATAATCGTTTGATTTTCTAAATTGAATAAATATTGATGGACAACTAATTCAATATAATAAACAACTATTATTGAACGAAAAAAGCATAAGATAAGTAATCTTAAAATACTTAATTTCAAAATAACTTGTTCTCCACAATTTAAAATAAAATAATAATTCTAAAATAACTTATTTCGACGGTGTTCCACATTTAAACAACGTTTTTCACAGGGGCACCACCATAGCTACTCAATAGTACAAATTTCAAATTCAAGACCCTCACTATTAAATAAGAGTAATATCTCAATTTCAAGTTAATTTGGTTTCGCTACTACTAACAAGATATGCCTTCTGTAGCCCTTCCCTTATGCATCTTCCTCCTCCTTCTCTCTGCAGCTTCACCGGTCATCGGCGACGAGGATTCTCAGTCCCCGACGGTATACGAGATTCTACAGGAATACGATTTTCCGGTAGGGATACTTCCAAAGGGCGTAACAAAGTACGAACTCAACAAAACGACGGGCAATTTCGCTGTTTACTTTAACAAATCGTGCAGTTTCAGCATAAGCGGCTATAATCTCAAGTATATGAGTAAGATTACTGGTAAAATCTCTAAGGATCGACTTGCGAATTTGGAAGGCGTACAGGTGAAACTGCTTTTGTTTTGGATCAATATTGTGGAAGTTACTCGTGACGGCGACGATCTAGATTTCTCCGTCGGTATTGCTTCTGCTGATTTTGCAATTGATAACTTCTATGAATCGCCACAGTGTGGATGTGGATTTGATTGTGTGAATTCCGGAGAAAAGGGAACTGGGAAGTTCGATTTGAGGCAGCTTATCTCTTCGTCTTGAATCGTTAACTGAAATTTTCAGAAATTGACTGTAAATTAGGATGAAATTAAGCTAAACTGGACGGTTCATTTTGGAATTAGGGTAAGTTTGTATTTCAGAATCCCACGGAACTGGAAGCATATGCTTTTTGATGCTCCTTTGGAATGAATATGTATTTTGTCATATATCTATGTGGAGTTTCATCTATGTAGTATAGTACTACTACTTTTTCTACTTCTGAAATTGAAATAAAAGTTTCTGCTAAGCATATTTGACGATTTCAGTCTTTTTTCCTAAAATTCATATTTTGGAATCCTACTACCGAACCGAACTTTTGAGTTAAGACTCAAAGTCATTCTTGAATTTTCGCATGGAGCACTAATAGTCCCCCGTATTTACAATATTGGTGCACTTTTGGTCTTTCCCTAAACTTTTGCCTATTTTTTAATATTAAATTTTGTCATAATTTATCATCTTTTTATATATTTAGTAGAAATAATAAATTCTATGTGAGAGAAGGTGAGAAGAAGAACATTTTGTTCTGTTCAGTACTAGTATTATTGCAGCTAAACTAAGAACATTTTAACATATAATATTGCAAGAAAAGAAAATTTTGTACTATTGTACGTGAAATCGTCGTGATGAACCTCTCGATTTACCTGCAATACTATTTCTACTAAACAAAATAAGGTGTTTTCCTTCTCACAATCTCTCACATGGAGTTATTATTTGTACTGAATATATAAAATGACGATTAAACATTCCATACATAAATTATGAATAAAATCAATGTTAAAAATAGGCAAAATTTTAAAGAAGGACTAAAAGTGCACTAATATTGCAAACACGAGGGACTATTAATGCTCCATGTGAAAACCCAAGAATGATTTTAACTCTTAACCCAAAGATGAGGGACTATTTTGGGTCCTTTCTCGAAAAAACATCGATATCAAATCAAAATCGAAGAATTAAATTAATTCAATTTAATTTTAAGTGGTTTGGGAGCTATTTTACTTGAGTGGGTTCATTTTTACCTGGTTTGTGAGCTATTGTATATGAATTGAGTTTAGAATATGGGTTTATCATAGGATTGTTTAAAATTAACTCGAAATTGACAATCTAAATAAAGTTATTAATTTATCGATTTAGCATTTTGATAATAATTTTGATTTTTTTATTGGATAATTTATTTTTAACGGATGAATTAATCAATAATCTGATAGTAAATTAAGAAATTATATTTATATCATTCAATATATAAAAATTTATTGACTTTTAGTTTCACATTGTCTCAGTTCTACATTGTGTTAGTGTTTGTTTTTTAGCAAGATATAATCTGACAACTCAAGTATATGGTTCAATTGGTTTATCACTTTTATCATACTAAGTGATTTTTGATGACTTTTTTATGTTTCAAATTGAGTTTTTTGTCAAAATCATCCTTAAACTATACACAAATGTAAATTACATCCTTAAAATATTTTCTTCTTTTTTTTGACAAAAAACATCCTCTAAGTATTTGAAAGTTAACAATTTTAATTCTTCTGTTAGATATAATTAAATAACTAAGGGATCCTATAAAAATATGAGCATTTCACGTGACTATAAACAAAAAAAATTCTTGCATAATTTCATTAACTGCTATAAGAAGTTTCTGAAAAAAATATGAAAAATCTTACCGTTGCTTACTGAAACAAAAAATGTTTGGAATGTGTACGGATGCATGATCTACTTTTTTTTCTCATTTAGTAACGAAAAGAAGCTAGAGCTTAATTATCTTTACCTTTTTCAAAGCCAAACTGTATTTAGATCAATAAAATTTATGTGCCAATCTGATATTGAAGTGATCAAAATATTAATTATGTCTCGAATTTGAGTTTCATTCTACATTATTAGAAGTTGAAGTCTCCAACAAACTCTGCTTATAGCATATTCAATTGAGAATAAACATATTTCAACTAATAATATTTTTAATATCAAATTACACAAAGAAAAAAAAACTGTCAAATTAAAAGATTTTGCATAATGCTAAACCTAATTACCGAAAAGGTTCACGATAGTATTTTTGACGTATCTAAGAATAATAATTACGAAGGGATGACTTGATTTTTGTGGGATCTGTTAGTATTTTGATAAATTCAAGTAGAAGGATGAAAATTGTTCACTTTTAAATACTTGAAGGATATTTTCCGCTAAGAATGATACTTTAAGGATGCAGTTTAAGTTTGAGGTATAATTTAAGGATAATTTTGGCAAAAACTCTTTCAAATCTTAACAGTTAAATCAATAATCGAATATGTAATGATCAATAATTAATAAATCGATAACTGATAAGTCAATATCTTAATGGCTTTATAACGATTTAACATGTCTACAAATTAATAATCAATAAATCAAATCAATAACTTTAAAATTAAATTAAACCAAATCATATCAAAACCGATCGATATGTCGTCCTAATTTGTATAGTGTGCATAGATAATTGCAGGTTTTAGGGATTAAGAAAGGGAAACTATATGATTAGACATGCTTCACTATCATATATATATATATAATTATTACTATTATTTTCAAAAAATATTATGTATTTTATCACTAATTAAGAATTTTATACGTATCTTATACTTAGATATATGTATTTTCTTACTATTAAATACACAAAAATAGAGAGAGATGAGTGATATTTATTAGAGAAAGAGGTAATCGAGATTTGTATATATTAAAAAAATATGTGAATCACAGTAAATACACATTATCTATATGTATCTGAAATGATTCACATGCATTTGAGATATAAAAATACATGGGAGAGAGACTAACAAATTTGTTAGTGTCTCAGATACATACTAATAAATTATACGTAAATTTGACCCATATATTTGGAATACATGTATCTGAACATATCTAGAGACATCAAAATCTGATAAGATACGTAATATTATAAATTGTAATCTAGGTAAATAAACTGCACTTAAATTAGTGAAATTTACGTAAAAAAAATAAAAATGATCCCTCTCACTCAATTACATGACACGTGTGTCATTTTTTTTACAATTAGAAAAAATTAATTTTAATTTCCGCTTATTATTAATGAAATAATTTTTATATTATGATCAAGATGTAGATCAAAAAAATTTAAAAAATCATTTCTTAAATATTGCATCAAATCAACCATATAAAGAGGAAATTGGGGGAGTAATTAGTATGCAATGCAAGACACCAACGTCGAACTAATTTTTTGCTGTCATCTTCTGCAATAATTGAATCTTCCCCAAAGTCAATTATACATATCGCCGGCGCATCATCGGAGTAATTGCATCTGAATATCCATTTGATACGAATATTATCACAAAATACGGCAGCATCGATGTTTCCTCCACGTCAGATCGCCGTTACCCTCGCGTTTCCGCTCTTAATCATCTTCCTCACAACTCTACCGCCGTTAATCACCGCCGCAGCCGACTCCGCCGCCGGAAATGGTGACACTTCCCTCACTGCTTACGACTTACTCGTAAGCTACGGCTTCCCTGTCGGAATTCTTCCACAGGGTGCTATTGGGTACGATCTCGATAAGAACACCGGAAAATTCAGTGTCCACCTTAATGGGTCTTGCAGTTTCGCACTAGAAGGGTCCTATCAGCTTAGGTATAAATCGACATTCGGTGGGTACATAGCTAAAAATAGGCTGTCAAGCCTATATGGGGTTAGTGTGAAAATTCTGTTTCTGTGGCTCAATATTGTGGAGGTTGTTAAGAATGGTGACAATCTTGAATTCTCTGTTGGAATTGCTTCGGCTAGCTTTCCCACTTACAATTTCTTGGTTTGTCCACAATGTGGATGTGGATTGAATTGCAATAGCAATGGACATATTCTAAAGATTCGAAACAGTAATCTTGTCTCTTCGGTTTAGCTGCACACAGAAGGATGATGGGGTTTGAGTTTGCTGACAGAGGTTAGTTCCAGTTTTTGAATATTTCTGAATAAATGCTACTTGGTTGCTCACTGAACTGATACTTGATTCAATTGATGAATTTATCAGATGTTTAATACTTCAATTTGTAGTGAAGCATTACAAATTTCATGAATATACGTATGGTTTAGGTCCCTTGAATCTTGATTTTGTGACAATGTTACCAGTTGAAGGATTTTCTTGAAGCTTTGCATCTTAATCAACTAGATAAAACTGTCAGTTATCAGGAAAAGAAATGGTCTGTCAGTTATCTCGCTAAATATTTTGCGGCCTGAAACTAAATGAAAGAATCCAATATAATTATTGGAGCTTGATCTAAGATCTATCTTTGATGACAGAAAATCCACAGACCATGCCGCCCCCATCTTTGTTAACAAGACAGATTTTGAAGTTACATTTATCTGAATTTTTAGAGAAAACATGGACGAATTGTATAGCAATATGTAAAATAAAATATGATACCTGAATATTGGGTTAAGTATGACAGTAGGACACATTTTAACTGGTGGGGAGAAACAAACAGTTAAGAAGGGCATGGTGCTGCGGGGCTGAGGAGAAGTGAACGAGAACTTGAAATGGACTAAAGGTGAAAGTCAAACCATCTCTATGTTGACCTTGCATCTGAAACTAGAAGCATGGATCACATATGTGTTCACAGTTGGTAGGCATATTGAACCAGATATGTGTTAAAAATTGATAGAAGATCTCTCACAGAAAAATGCAACAGGTCAAGAAAAGGTTGTCTTCCCTTTGTGGTGATTTTCTCATCAAGAGGATGCTACAGGAACCTTGGGCCAGATTTGCTAGAGAATCTTTCTATTGAACATTTATTTGAACTATGTTATCCGCGACTCCATATTAGTTGAAACACTTTTTTTTATAGCCTATAAATCTCCGAGGGCCAATAGCAGATGGTTACTAACTCACTGGATAGTTGGCCACCTTTCTACCTTTCTCAACTTAATTACCAGGATTTTGTTTGCGACAGGGGTCAAACTCGTGATGTGCACCTAATAATTCACACATCACGCACTGTGATTTGGAGCATGGAGCTTTTTTAGTTTCTCTCCTTCTGAACTCGGGGCTGGGCCGTCCCCTTCGATTCGCGCACTGGGAATGAGCTCCAGACCGGAATTCTCTGGTGGAGGAGTCGGTGTTGGCGGAGTCGGGGTTGGCGGTTGACTGAACCACCCTTCACCCGACGGAGGAGAGAAACTGATTCACAACACGAGTTAGGTCATCTGCGAACAGATACCCAAAGTCTAAGGTGACCTTTGCCAGAACAAGATTTCAAGATCTATGAACAAGAGAGATCCCTAAATATCCATTTGAGAAAATAGATGAATAGATAGGGCGAAGCCAGCTGAAGGAAGGTCGCGTTAGCTCCCCCTATTTCACTAAAGCAAGAAGGGAGAAAGTTGACTTTGAGAAAGAAGGGCTTCTATTTAGATTAGTTTCTTAGTAAAAGATAAGGCAAGAAGCAAGGGCGTAGCAGCTGCGCGAAAGCCGTTGCGCCTTAGCGCCCCCCTACCCCTATTATTTAGATTATAGTCATAAAAAAAGAAGAGACGGTCTTAGCCCTTATCGTAGTTGTTTAAATAAAGCAGGGGCTAAGTCTCTGTCCCTTTATTCACTGATTCAAGGGTTTTTTAGATAGGATGCACTCTTAGACCAAAGCCTTGAGTATATTGCTTAAAAAACTTGAGGGTTGTTTGGTTTGGAGCAAAGTTATCTTCAGATTATAATCTCACGTCCCATATGGGATAGATAATATATAAAATATATACGGTATCAACTAATACATATAACCAAACACTAGATAAATGTAGTCCCAAATATTGAGATTATTATCATGATCCCGGTAAGCAAACGACCCGTTAGAGAACTCCCGTACGGTATATGCATCATTCATGCATATTAGAGTTTCTAGGTTAATTGTCATTTCTGGAGTTAATATAAAAGTTTGAAGCAATCGAACCTTACCTCTCAAGTCTGACAAACAATGTTGCTTTTCTTTTTGCACTCTTCTTAGAGGGTGAAGCAATTTAAAAGCTTCTTTCTCCATTGTCAGGCCAAAATAGTGAAGTGATCTATTGAGCTCCTTCCCCCTCCGGCCTCCCCCTACCCGTCTCTCTTTGTCATGGAAGTGAAGGGTGGGTATAACCTTAAACATTCATACTTTATTCATCTTTCCTTAGGGTTAAATGGATCTTTATTCTGAGACATGCTATGGAGCATTGATCAGCACTTGACTCTCGATAGACTGCTCTTCAGTTTCGCATTCTCCCCTTGTTGGTGCTTCTAGTTAATAGGTGAAGTTTGCAAGACCCTGTATTTACATCCTATTTAGAATACATTTCTGCTGTTGGTTCACTGCAACGGTAACTGATATACTTCAACAATATGCCTTTTTACATACTACTGTGGTGCCATTTGTCAATATCACTACTGTATCTATCAATACAAATCGGATTATACATATTGGTATGTACCAACACTCCGGAGTCTGGACCATGATTTGTTGCTGGAAGCATGAGTAAGAGAGAGATTGGGGGTGGGGGGAGGGGAGTTGTTTGTACCCATGATATTGGTTCATGAATATATGTATTGTTTATCCTTCTAGGTCTGTTTATATTGTCTAATCTCTACGTGAGAAGCAGAAACAAGAATAAGGTAAATATAGCCTGAACTTGCTAATGGTCAACACTATTAACTATCCTACATTGGTTGAATAAATGGTAGACCCAAGGCCCATTTTCTTCACGTTATATCAGAGCTTGATCTATTCATGCTCTTGGTTTCCCAATGTCGGTTCCTTGTGTTATAATGTCCATTCATTGGTGCAGGGGTGGTAATTGTCCCGTATTGGTTGAGAAAATGGATTGTTATTTCCTCAAATGGTTTTGGGCAATCATCATTTATGAGCTGGCATTTTGGGGTTGAGTTTTGGGATCATACACCTTTGGGATTCCATGTAGGACAACAAAACATAGAAATGTATGAATAGGAAAATAAGAGTTGTGTATAAATGCTGACAAGTTTTGTTTAATCAAACAGTAAATTGAGGCAGAAATCCTTTGGCAAGAATGCTATGCACGTCAGGGGCGGATGTAGCTTTGGGATATTGGATTCATCTGAACTCTATACTTTCGAGGCAGAGAATAAATTTGTGTAAACATTCACTAAAATTGCAATAAGAGTATTCACCTATAACTATATAAATATGTGGGTTCAACGGTAAAAACCTTTGATGCACTTGTATGGTACATTGTGTGTGTGACAGAGACCTGCAGCCACAAGATCTGCTAATTTCCTCTGTCCTTTCTCTTTCTCTTCTGTAGCAACTTTTTTTTATTAGGTACTATGGCACTTTATTGTGTATTTGACTTTGCATTGCCTCGAAAATTAGAAGGAAGATATCTAATGCATGACTCTATTTGTTGAGTGCTTGCAGATACTTGCAACTCATGGAAAAGATCAGGTGACATTGTTGCAGTGTACAGAAATCCCGAAATGGTCATTCTCCTCCTTCCTCCTCATCATAGTTACAATACAAAACTGAAAGTCGAAAACTCATGTGTTCATTTACATTGTCTTTATGTTTTCTACTATTGCGTCATGACTCTGTCATGAATACACAATCTTCTTGAAATTGCTGTTTATAATGAGATTATTTTCCATCACGCATATGGCATAAAGCTCCCTATAGCTTGTACTCGGAACTCTGTTAAATCAGTAGCCAAAATGTCAAAAAGAATTGAGAAGCTAACTAAGGAACAGATGGGGTGACATGCACTACAGTTCTTAGTAGTCATTGATATCTATCACCTATAGTAAATGTTACGACTTTTTGTGAAGAAGTTGTGCATCTCATGGTTCACATTGTTTCATTGTTTTACTTCATGCTCTGTTCGTTGTACTAGAACTGTCAAAATTGAGCCCAATTGTAGGTAACCCGTCCAACCCGCCCAAAATTTTAAGGGTTGGGCTCAAGATAATTTGAATTGTGTTCAATTTCAACCCATTCAAGTCCTAACCCATCTAAGAGAATCATCAATTGAGCCCAATTTAGTCTCCAATTTCAATTCGTTTTAAGATTCTTTATTTGCATTGATGTAATGTATGTTCCTATATTAAATGTATGAATTACTATCTATTTTATATCTTTTAGGATTTATCTATCCATTTGTAACCTTTTTTTTTAAAAAAAAAATCTTTAATTCAAATTCAAATTGTGATTATAAAACTTAAATAACAATATATTAAAATTATTGAATTAAGCGGATCAAATTGAGCGGGTCAAGACCCAACCCTTTTTTAAGCCCATTGGAGCCCAATCCATTCTTGGACGGGTCAGGACCCAATCCAATTACCATTTCAATTCATTTTAATATCTTTAATTTTAACCCAACTGCCCATTTGACACCCCTAGACTTGTATCTGACATTGTGATTTAACCTTTTTGCACCACGGATAACACTTCTTTGTTGCTTAGAAAACCTTGTTCTTCACATTTTCTGTTTCCCATAACTAACATCAATAGGTTATATTTATATTATTTTATGCTAAGAAGTGGAATAATTATGTATATGAATTATTGAACTCTATTATAAAACTAATTCTTACCTTATTAATACTAACATAATTCTAACCAACAACCAAATGATTAGAATTCATTTTTAGAAAAAAGTAATGCGGACACAAACCCTGCTAAGGTCTACAAAGAACAAAAGGATGTAATTCTACTTTATTACTACCTCCGTCTATATTTAATTGTCATAGTTTTCTTTTTTAGAGTTAAATTATAAAAAAATTGAGTAACATTTTACGATGTATTTTTCCATCATATTGATATACAAAAAAATTGCAATATATAGTATTTTTTGCATAATTTTTGAATATCTAAATGTTTTGTTTAAAATATAGAATTAATGTAATTTTATTTAACTTTAAAAATTAGTCAAATTGATTTTTTAAAAGTGCAACATGACAAATAAAAGTTGACAGAGTGAGTAGTAGCTTTGTTTTAATGGCTAATTATTGCTTTAATAAACTTTGCGTAAGCAAAGTCAACATTAATTCTCAGACGTTACTAGTGCTTTCCATGATTAATGGCCCTAATTAAGTCAAGTCAGTACACTTACGATTCCCACCGTTCTATATTAATTGTCCAGTTATTTTTTATACTTTCTTTAAGAAAATATAAATAAAACAAAAATAAATAATTTACAGTAATAATTATTTTATTATTATGATAACAACTAACATAGACAGCAGGGAGTATATAGCCTTTGATTAATTTAATTATAAAGTCACCGCAATGTCCACTTGTCGTTTCAAAAGCATATTGTTTGCCATCAGGGGCGGCTCTGCCTTATAAAAGTTAAGGCATGTGTCTTAGACCCCCAATTTTGGAAGGCCTCTAATTTTTATCAAAAATAAATTATGTGTTATTTTTTTATTAAAAAAATTAATTATTTATAATAAAAAGTATATATATATATATTTTATTATATTTCTTTTCTAACATTCACATTATTTATTTTTTAAAATTCATTTTTGCTTAAAGTTTGTCAACTTATTGCTTATAGAATTGTGCAAACAATTCATATAATGATTGCTTTAATAAAATAATATTTTTCAACGTTAATTGATAAAATTTTACCTAAAACTAATCATTTTAAATAAAAAGAAAGTACTCGAAAAATCATTTATAAAAAAAATTAAGTAATAATTTGCATCTAAATAGTTTTAAAAATAAATATATATGAAATTTGTTAGGCCTCAATTGAAATTTTGCTTTAGATCCTCAATTACGTTGAACCGCCCCTGTTTGCCATCTTCTAATTCTAATTCTAATTGTAAAGATAATACCGACAAAGTAAAGGGCAATAACATTTAAAAAATATGTTTTACTTAAGTATGATTAAGGGTGTCTTCGATAAGAAGAAAAATAAATTCTAATTTTTTTATTTTTGATTGGGTTAATTTTTTTTGAAAGTTACTTTCTTTATTATAATAAGCTCTTTAAAAAAATTTATCTAATAATAAGAAAAACAGATTTCACAAGTAACGTTATATATTAATTGTGTCAATCGCATTGCCACCTCATCCTCGTTATAGCTTCTAGCCTTGCATATCAACATATATATTTTTTTACTGACGTTCCTTTGACTGAAGATATTGTATTTGTACAATGTGTCCGAATTCAGCTTCTAAGTTCCACCACTACCATCAATTCAATGAGTCCGGAGTCAAAAGGACAATTTTTTTCTCAAAAAAATATAAACTGTATATCAATTTTTTTTAATCAAAACGGTAAAATCGCTCCCTAGGGAGAGATATCTTTTAACGTATGTCGGGCATGCCATTAAAGCCTTCATTCAAAATTGCTGCTGGAGCAGCGATTTTATCAAAAAAAATATAAAAAAATTCCTAAAATCGTTTTTTAAATTTTTTTTTGTAAACGGCTGCCTTATCCATTTTTTTTGTTTAAACATTAAGGAAAATTGCTGCCAAAGCAAAGATAATTTTTTAAAAAAGAAGTTGGAAAATTGCTGCCATTGCAGCGAATTCAAGTTGGAGATTTTTTATTTTCATTTTTTTTGCAAAAACGAAGTTGGAAAATTGCTGCCATTCCAGCGAATTCAAGTTGGAGATTTTTATTTATTTTTTATTTTTTGCAAAAACGCTGCTGAAGCAGCGAGTTAAGATTAATTTTTTTTTCTAGCATAACGCTGCTGAGGCAGTGATTTTATAAAAAAAAAAAACAAAAATTGGACAAAATCGCTGCTGCAGCAGCAATTTTAAATAAGGTTTTTAACAGAGTATACGGCATTAAAATATATCGCTTCCTCAGTAACGATTTTACCGTTTTGGTTAAAAAAAAATTTGATATACCATTTATGTTTTTTAAAGGAAAAAAATTACCCTTTTGACTCCAAACTCATTATTCAACACTCTTATTTTCACTCTATTTCTTTTTTATATTTACTATAATTATATAAAAATATTTTTTATTTATTTATCGAACATAAAATAAAAAAAGCCTTAAGTAAAACATAATAATATTTGGTTTATAACTAATCAATGAGTGAACTGCATGCGAAAACAGATGAGAGTTGAGACACGGAACGCTTTGTTATATATTCAACATATTTTATTTAGTAATTTATTCACCTTTATGATTAATTTATTTATTATATACTTAATAAACACTTAAAAGAATATATATCTTTAAAAAAATTCAACGTTTTAAATAAAAAATATTCCATCATATGATTGAATACTCACAATATATTATCTAATGTCTAAATAAAATTTAATAAATCCTTAGATAATATTTTATCTTCAAAATTCAAACATCACACATGACAAGAATACTCCTACCAATACACATTACATGTTTAACTTTAAAGCACATTATATGTATTATATCGTCTACATCGTCATACAAAGAGTTATTTTCAATATTATATATTATTACTATTATATAAATTTTTAATTTATTTAGAAACACAAAATTCTAAAGCAAAATCCTGCTTTTCGAATCTCGTATGTGTTATTTCTTTCAATTCATGCATTTTGCCCTTTTGAACCATTCTGTTGTATTCAATACTGTGCTTTTAATTAACCTTAATATGGTATTTGATCACTTATTTCATTAATATTGGTGATAATCTTAAAAATAATAAGGCATGATTAAGATATTAGTTTGATTAAAAAAAAGTTGTTTTTAATTGTTAACGAATATTATGAGATTGTCCCAAAAGAAACAAAAATGAATACGTAAAACAACTGGAAATTGAAGATATAAAAAAATAAACACATCTAAAAACTGAAAATTTAATACTAATACTATAATTATTTCATTTGCATGAATAAAAGATACTACAAAAAGAAAAGATACTTATAACAATAAGCTTAAAATTTAAAGCAAACAAAGCATTAGTAAATTTCACTGCTATTTTTTTCTGCTGATAAAACAGTGTCTTCCCTAAATTCTCTTAACTCTTTTCTCGTTGATCAAAGATCTCCGATGAGTAACCGGAGATCAAAGACGCAGCTTCAAAGCTTTTCAGTTGCTTCCAGATCTGTGCTTCAACAGCATCTTCCGGAGCTCAGCAGCGTCAATCTCATTTGCTTGTCCTTCCGGCCTGTAGTAACCGGTAACTGGATCTGGCACCCATGAAGTCTTCACGGATTCCTCTCCACTTTTTTGCATCATTACGTTGCTCCTTGGCACTCCTCCTTTCGCTACACCGGAGACTGCACCTTGTGATGCCGCCGCATATCCACGCCTGTACGTACATACACACAAAATTCACATCACAGCAAATCCCCGATACAGTCCTCTGTTTTTGCTATGAACAAAAAAATCTAAGTACGTAAAAATATACTATTATATTGAAAAAGAAACAGTTAACATGTGCAGCGGCAATCACGCTCACCGATTTCGATAATTGGATCCTAACGCCTTTTTTCCAGGGGATAATAAACGAATGTTTCGGTTATTACCTGCTAAGGAAAACACAGAAACAGAGTCCAATCCCCTGTTTACGTTGAGCATAATTTTATAATAATGCTATGAACACAGCACAGAATTCGACTAAGATGCAATATATATGTTTATATAGCTGAGAAAATTTTAGTAGTATATAGATTTACACCGAAAAACTCGACGGAAGCAGCGCTATATATTCACGTTCACCGATTTCAAAATTTGAATCGTTTCTGTTTAGATTCATACTACGGAAGTTTTGATCATTACCTGCTAAGAAAAGCAGAGACGGAGTCGGAGACGAAAGCAGAGAGAATCTTAGAGTTAGAGAAAGAACGAGCCATTGCTATTGATCGGGATCGGAGACGAAGCAAAAGAATTTCTGAAGAAGAACGCTACGGCGGAAGGAATTTGGTTATGGAGCTTCCGCAGCGGCGAACTGAAATTCTGTAGCTTCGACTCTCTCTCTCCGGCGATTTTAGGGTTACATAAGGGAGGAGGAATGAAGGAGAGAATGGGGAAGTATATATAGAGATGGAGAATGAGGAGGGAAAAGGCAAACATGGACTAGGGTTTAATTTGGGGCCACTATTTACACGCAAAGGTCCTCTCCTTAGTTGACACTTGGTCGATACCTTTTCTTAGTTGAATCGACTTCCTTTTTTGGTTTGTGTGTTCATATTATAGCTCGATTAAATTTGAATTTACATGTATTTATTTATTGGAGCAACTTTTTAATACTTCCTCCATCCAATAATAATTATTCACTATATTATTTTGAAATGTTCAATAATATCGATTTATTTTAAAAAAGTAATGAATAATTTACACTTAATTCTTAATTTATGTTTATCATTAATTATAATTATTTACTATTACATTTTTCAAGATATTATATTTCCAATAATAGTTTTGCCAATTCATCCACTCTTGAAATATTATATTAACGTTGTAATATAATAGCGACACGTCACTTAGAAAATTGAATTATATACATAATATATATATGGGCAAAGTTGAATCATTCATATAGTGTGGATTAAATCTTGTTCACTCTAATTTAATCATAAAAGTTGACGGGTCATTTGTAATCGAAAACATTAATTAATAAAATAAGGTATATTAGCTAAAAAATGCAACTTTACTAAAACTAGATGGAGAAATATTTTTTTAAAAAGAATATGTTGATTACATGAAATTTTACTAATTTGTGGATTGTGCATCTTTCTCATGCTTTCCTTAGGAAAAGAAAAGGGGAGTTAAACGTATGTTATGAATTTAAATTATACAAATAAAAATATAGTAATTTTTTAAATAAGAAAGGATAGAGTATAAATAAATACAAACACTTTAAAAAAGAATCAATTATAAGGATAATATAGAAGAAAAAAATTACTGATTTTTTAATTTAATAAAATGGACAACTTATATGAAATAACTATTTTTAATAAAATAATTAACTTATACGAGAGGGAGTAATATTTTAGTGAGAAAAAAAGTAAAAAGACGGCAAACATATGATCCCATAAGTATCCAATTATTTACATGCACTTTCAACAACTTGCAATAACCAAAGAAAGGAGAATCACCGAAGGAAGAATGCGGTGAGGTGGATGAGGTTGTTTTTATTCTCAATTAAAAGTTTTATTTTTAAGTTCTAAAAAATTGGTAGTTTTTGCTTAAATGAAACCTTAAGCAATAAAAATTTGAATTTGTTAAATCCTAATATAAATATCGAACATTAAATAATAAACAATACCCCCTTTTTTTTTAAAAAGGACAGAGGCAGCCAAAAGACATCTTGCTTCTCTTTATGCAAGAACCAAACATATTCAGAGTACCTAGTTGTGCCACTGGATTTACACTATTAAATCAATTAATTGTTTATTTTAGTCAAAAAATTTTTATCGATGCTTGATATTCGTTTTGTGACTCCATTTAGTGGGATTCACATGATTATATAAGGTTCAATTAAAGGAAAACACTTTTTATTTGATTTCTTTTTCATTCATGAACTCAATTCGAGATATTTGATCAAAAATAAATAATCTATCATAATTTGATGTGGCAGCGAGTGTAATACACCATATAATGTGAGAGTGGTGTTACTTATACGTCCCAGTAGGTAAATAAATTTTACTTTTAAGTAGTAAAAATGCGTAATAAGTCGTCATAATAGTTTAAATATGTAACTGACTTTTCGAAACAAGTTCGAAGAAAATCTATATTTTTTCCCTATATATATTCAAATCATACTTAACAAAGTTAGCACTTACCTGATATATATTGTGCTGGAGAGATAATAGACACTTCATAGCATTAGTCAAAATATGTACAAACTGACATAAATATTATCTTCCACATATAGAAAAAAATATACTAAAGAAAAAAGAAAAAAAGGAGAAGCAGGTTGATAGTCTGCTTCATTTTTTTATTATTATAATTTTTTTTATAACTGTTCCAATACTTTTTAGATGTTATAGTAAATTATTGTTATAAAGAACTCATAATTTGATATAATATAAAATTATGTTTTTTTTTTAATGTTTCCTCTCAGTATCTGGTTAAAGAATAAGAATAAAAAGTGGAAGTTGTTATCAACACAATTAAAGGCCTATTTTTGAACACACAAAATTTTTTGTGGAGCCAAAAAGCTGTGGCAAAGACAGATTCCTATTATTACATTAATTATTCAGTGTTCAATATTAATTCCACACACAAAAAAAATCCTAGCTTTAATTTGCCTCTTTTAGACTACCAAAAGACAACATTATTTTTCTGGAAAAAAACTCAATTTGCTCTCCCTATCATTCGTCCTTATCATATATTAATAATAAATTTCAGGCTCACAGAATATACATATTTTTTGTGTATGTTATTTTTATACCTAATTTGTGGAGCAAAACCTAACTCCCACAAGGAATCAAAAAAGAAAAAAAATCTTAGTATGTAATTTAGTGATGTCAAACGCACTGTTCAGGTTGTTTGACTAAGTTTATAAGTTGATTGAATTAATTTATAAGTCGTATTTAACTTATTTACGTATTTGATATGCACTTTAACTGGTGAAAATAGTTTTTTTTTAAAAAGAATTTAATGCCACTTGTGTCTTGATAATCCCACATGAATTTGGCACTTGATTTGGTCTAATGATCTTATCCATAAACTTTAATTTAGTAATAATGGGTGATCACATTGTTGGGAAAATATAGGCTTTCTTTCTTATAATTTATTTTCCTTTTGAACTTATCTTTAGTTTGCCATTCTCTTATTATCACGCAGCGGAGTCAGAAATTTTAATTTATAATTTTTGAATTATAATTTTTTTAGTGAATTTTGAATAGATTGCTTATATATATTAACTGAGTTTTTTTAATAATATAAATACATAATTTGAAATAAAAATTAATGAGTTTTCTGTTACGTAACTCCACCAATTTTATTAGGCCGTACTATTCATAATGTTTTTTTTCTGTTATTAGCGTAGTAAATGAAAATATCATAAAAAAATTTCATGACCCGTCCTAGAAAATTGAGTCGGTAATACTTTAATTTGATTTTTAACTTTAATTTCAGCTAAACAAAAATTCAAACATCAACAACATCAGGTTTAATTGGCGATAATTCAAAATTCAACCAACTAAGGTACTTAAATTCTCCCGAATAATAATATTCATTTTTCTAGCTCTCGGCATATTTTTGGATAGGATACTTTGATACCATCTCTCAATTATTATTGAGAGAGTTGTGAATAAGATTGTTTAGTTGATGCTTTAATTTGATCTTACTTGCGATTCACAAAATTTTCTAATGTGCCCAATTTTTTTATGTCCACTCGAAACTTGTGATGTGCTACTTTTCTTGAGAATTCAAAGATTTTTCAAAAGTATAGTATATACTATATATTGTGGTGCACTTAATTGGGTAGCTTACTGTCACGGACTTAGAGTCTCACTAATGCTCCGTGCAGTACTTGACAACTTACTCACGAATCTTTCACGATCTTGTAAGCTCAAGTAAGGCCTTTAAGACTAGATCGCTAAGAGAATGCTTAAGGAAAGACTTAGAAAGAACAAAGAGAGTTTTGGAAGAAGGCTTTTGTATTGCTTTTGGAAGATTGCTTTACACTTGGATGGTTGGATGGTTGGTGCCTTGCAAATGAGGGGCACCTCTATTTATTCTTCCTCCTAGGGACTAAAATGTAATTAATATTTACTTTACAAGTCTCTAAATTATTTACACTTTGGTCCCTCCCTAGAATCTTCTACTAATTCTAGGAAATTCTAAAGCTTTCCAAGAAAATATTTAGTCCCTCTTCTAGAATTCTCTACACATTCTAGAGAATTCCTTCTTGGAAACTATCTAGGACCTTCAATTGCCTTCTAAGTTATTCTAGAGAATTCTAGGGAATTCTCTAGTCTTCTTGAATAATCTAAAGAGTTCTAGAGTCTTCCGAAAACCTCTCCACAACTCTAGACCTTTCCGCCCCTATCCGGACGCAAAATTTAACTGTGGTGTGGCGGGACGTGACATTACGATCAACAAAACGAGACAGTTACATATGAGAGATCAAGATTCGCTTTCAATAAAAACAAATAATCTAGGTTATGCATAGGTCATGTAAAATGAAGTGTGATCAGTTGAACATATTTAATAAAAAATAATAATGAGTAGGATGGAAAATTGCATGTGTTTTTCTCTTTATATGGGTTGTTTTCTACTTTTTGTCCTTTATCAATTAAACTTATGTCATTTAGAAACCAAAATCATGTCAAGACATAACTTTCAGGATATCATGATACGAAAGTATAAATTTATACCATGCGAATAGATTATTTATTACGAGAGACATAAAATAAAGACCAACACAAATAAGGACAGAGTGCAAATGACCCATTCAAGTGTTACTCTTGTGTTTAACTAATTATATCCAAATTCATTTTTTTTCCAAATTAATAATAAATGACACGTATCAATTATACATATTTCAACTATGTAATTATGATATATTTACTAATATATATTTACACTTTAATCGAGTTCAGGCTTGCGTTTGGATATGCGATACAAGTTATAATTTCAAATGAATATTTGGACATGTGATTTGAGATTTTGATTTGAAACTCCAAATTCAAAAACAAAGAACACATTATTCAGGATTACAAATTTTTAAAATGTAAATATCAAATCATGATTTCATCTCGCACGTCCGGATTTGTCGCCATCTCTAAATGTTGAGGAAATGACACATATATACAACTAATAGTTATAATTATTAGCAATAAATAGCCCAACAATAATTAGCATTTAATAGACAAATAAAAAATAAACACAAAATGGCCCAAATTAATAAATGACATTTTAATAGTTTTTTTTTTGTTTTCCTCGTATAACCAAACATCACTAAACAACAAAAATAACGGAAACATCAAAAATTATATATACAATACGTAACCACCTAAAAACGTAAATTATGTATTTTCATATGTTTTTTTATTCGTTACTTGATAAAAAAAAATTCCAATTGTATACTTGATGATTGTATA